TACTCTGACACAGCACCCTCCAGAGGTTTGATGACTGAAAACTATACTCTGACACAGCACCCTCCAGAGGTTTGATGACTGTAAACTATACTCTGACACAGCACCCTCCAGAGGTCTGATGACTGTAAACTATACTCTGACACAGCACCCTCCAGAGGTCTGATGACTGTAAACTATACTCTGACACAGCACCCTCCAGAGGTCTGATGACTGTAAACTATACTCTGACACAGCACCCTCCAGAGGTTTGATGACTGTAAACTATACTCTGACACAGCACCCTCCAGAGGTCTGATGACTGTAAACTATACTCTGACACAGCACCCTCCAGAGGTCTGATGACTGTAAACTATACTCTGACACAGCACCCTCCAGAGGTCTGATGACTGTAAACTATACTCTGACACAGCACCCTCCAGAGGTCTGAAGACTGTAAACTATACTCTGACACAGCACCCTCCAGAGGTCTGATGACTGTAAACTATACTCTGACACAGCACCCTCCAGAGGTTTGATGACTGTAAACTATACTCTGACACAGCACCCTCCAGAGGTTTGATGACTGTAAACTATACTCTGACACAGCACCCTCCAGAGGTCTGATGACTGTAAACTATACTCTGACACAGCACCCTCCAGAGGTCTGATGACTGTAAACTATACTCTGACACAGCACCCTCCAGAGGTCTGATGACTGTAAACTATACTCTGACACAGCACCCTCCAGAGGTCTGATGACTGTAAACTATACTCTGACACAGCACCCTCCAGAGGTCTGATGACTGTAAAATATACTCTGACACAGCACCCTCCAGAGGTTTGATGACTGTAAACTATACTCTGACACAGCACCCTCCAGAGGTCTGAAGACTGTAAACTTTACTCTGACACAGCACCCTCCAGAGGTCTGATGACTGTAAACTATACTCTGACACAGCACCCTCCAGAGGTTTGATGACTGTAAACTATACTCTGACACAGCACCCTCCAGAGGTCTGATGACTGTAAACTATACTCTGACACAGCACCCTCCAGAGGTTTGATGACTGTAAACTATACTCTGACACAGCACCCTCCAGAGGTCTGATGACTGTAAACTATACTCTGACACAGCACCCTCCAGAGGTTTGATGACTGTAAACTATACTCTGACACAGCACCCTCCAGAGGTCTGATGACTGTAAACTATACTCTGACACAGCACCCTCCAGAGGTCTGATGACTGTAAACTATACTCTGACACAGCACCCTCCAGAGGTTTGATGACTGTAAACTATACTCTGACACAGCACCCTCCAGAGGTCTGATGACTGTAAACTATACTCTGACACAGCACCCTCCAGAGGTTTGATGACTGTAAACTATACTCTGACACAGCACCCTCCAGAGGTTTGATGACTGTAAACTATACTCTGACACAGCACCCTCCAGAGGTCTGATGACTGTAAACTATACTCTGACACAGCACCCTCCAGAGGTTTGATGACTGTAAACTATACTCTGACACAGCACCCTCCAGAGGTTTGATGACTGTAAACTATACTCTGACACAGCACCCTCCAGAGGTCTGATGACTGTAAACTATACTCTGACACAGCACCCTCCAGAGGTCTGATGACTGTAAACTATACTCTGACACAGCACCCTCCAGAGGTTTGATGACTGTAAACTATACTCTGACACAGCACCCTCCAGAGGTTTGAAGACTGTAAACTATACTCTGACACAGCACCCTCCAGAGGTTTGATGACTGTAAACTATACTCTGACACAGCACCCTCCAGAGGTCTGATGACTGTAAACTATACTCTGACACAGCACCCTCCAGAGGTTTGAAGACTGTAAACTATACTCTGACACAGCACCCTCCAGAGGTCTGATGACTGTAAACTATACTCTGACACAGCACCCTCCAGAGGTCTGATGACTGTAAACTATACTCTGACACAGCACCCTCCAGAGGTTTGATGACTGTAAACTATACTCTGACACAGCACCCTCCAGAGGTTTGATGACTGTAAACTATACTCTGACACAGCACCCTCCAGAGGTCTGAAGACTGTAAACTATACTCTGACACAGCACCCTCCAGAGGTCTGATGACTGTAAACTATACTCTGACACAGCACCCTCCAGAGGTCTGATGACTGTAAACTATACTCTGACACAGCACCCTCCAGAGGTTTGATGACTGTAAACTATACTCTGACACAGCACCCTCCAGAGGTTTGATGACTGTAAACTATACTCTGACACAGCACCCTCCAGAGGTCTGATGACTGTAAACTATACTCTGACACAGCACCCTCCAGAGGTTTGATGACTGTAAACTATACTCTGACACAGCACCCTCCAGAGGTCTGATGACTGTAAACTATACTCTGACACAGCACCCTCCAGAGGTTTGATGACTGTAAACTATACTCTGACACAGCACCCTCCAGAGGTCTGATGACTGTAAACTATACTCTGACACAGCACCCTCCAGAGGTTTGATGACTGTAAACTATACTCTGACACAGCACCCTCCAGAGGTTTGATGACTGTAAACTATACTCTGACACAGCACCCTCCAGAGGTTTGATGACTGTAAACTATACTCTGACACAGCACCCTCCAGAGGTTTGATGACTGTAAACTATACTCTGACACAGCACCCTCCAGAGGTTTGATGACTGTAAACTATACTCTGACACAGCACCCTCCAGAGGTTTGATGACTGTAAACTATACTCTGACACAGCACCCTCCAGAGGTCTGAAGACTGTAAACTATACTCTGACACAGCACCCTCCAGAGGTTTGAAGACTGTAAACTATACTCTGACACAGCACCCTCCAGAGGTCTGATGACTGTAAACTATACTCTGACACAGCACCCTCCAGAGGTCTGATGACTGTAAACTATACTCTGACACAGCACCCTCCAGAGGTTTGATGACTGTAAACTATACTCTGACACAGCACCCTCCAGAGGTCTGATGACTGTAAACTATACTCTGACACAGCACCCTCCAGAGGTCTGAAGACTGTAAACTATACTCTGACACAGCACCCTCCAGAGGTTTGATGACTGTAAACTATACTCTGACACAGCACCCTCCAGAGGTTTGATGACTGTAAACTATACTCTGACACAGCACCCTCCAGAGGTCTGATGACTGTAAACTATACTCTGACACAGCACCCTCCAGAGGTCTGATGACTGTAAACTATACTCTGACACAGCACCCTCCAGAGGTCTGATGACTGCAAACTATACTCTGACACAGCACCCTCCAGAGGTTTGATGACTGTAAACTATACTCTGACACAGCACCCTCCAGAGGTCTGATGACTGTAAACTATACTCTGACACAGCACCCTCCAGAGGTTTGATGACTGTAAACTATACTCTGACACAGCACCCTCCAGAGGTTTGATGACTGTAAACTATACTCTGACACAGCACCCTCCAGAGGTTTGATGACTGTAAACTATACTCTGACACAGCACCCTCCAGAGGTCTGATGACTGTAAACTATACTCTGACACAGCACCCTCCAGAGGTTTGATGACTGTAAACTATACTCTGACACAGCACCCTCCAGAGGTTTGATGACTGTAAACTATACTCTGACACAGCACCCTCCAGAGGTCTGATGACTGTAAACTATACTCTGACACAGCACCCTCCAGAGGTTTGATGACTGTAAACTATACTCTGACACAGCACCCTCCAGAGGTTTGATGACTGTAAACTATACTCTGACACAGCACCCTCCAGAGGTCTGATGACTGTAAACTATACTCTGACACAGCACCCTCCAGAGGTTTGAAGACTGTAAACTATACTCTGACACAGCACCCTCCAGAGGTTTGATGACTGTAAACTATACTCTGACACAGCACCCTCCAGAGGTCTGATGACTGTAAACTATACTCTGACACAGCACCCTCCAGAGGTCTGATGACTGTAAACTATACTCTGACACAGCACCCTCCAGAGGTCTGATGACTGTAAACTATACTCTGACACAGCACCCTCCAGAGGTTTGATGACTGTAAACTATACTCTGACACAGCACCCTCCAGAGGTCTGATGACTGTAAACTATACTCTGACACAGCACCCTCCAGAGGTCTGATGACTGTAAACTATACTCTGACACAGCACCCTCCAGAGGTCTGATGACTGTAAACTATACTCTGACACAGCACCCTCCAGAGGTTTCGTTGGTTAGTGCGGTGGGTGCCGTTTTGCCTCCGAATGGCCGAAGTTCAGTTCCCTCAACTCGCAGTCAGGCGTGTTCTCCTCAGCACTTTACAGAATATACTCCACAATCACAGCCACCACCTTTTGGGGTCCATGATGAGTAGTCTAGAAATTCAGACTTCTGGCTCAAGAATCGGACATTCATCCAACACCGGTCCCGCCGTCTTTGTCAGACGACCAACTTAGCCTCAGCATCCTCTCTCTACGCTCAGGCTAATAAACCCGCCATCGCCTGAACCTAGAGTCCATGTTCCTGGGTGCCTTTTTGGCTTCCTACAACATTCAAAAATGTACTTCTATTTTCATCCACCTTTGATCTCTAAACCCATCCCTGCATCTCTGTAATTTCCATCTACTTTCCAGACACAGTCATATTCACTCTTCGGGGAAGCAAAACAGACCCATCCGGAGCTTCATACGCTATTTACATCTTCCATTTAAACTCCTTCCTCAGCCCATTCGAACCTAATTCTGAACACGTTCACTCCAGGCATATTGCCAGAGCATCTCCCAAGATCCTCTCTTTCTTACCGAAACCGAAAACTGGCCACAAGACTCTGGTTCAGCAAGCACTTCTATCACTCCTCCGTATCACCGGCATATCTCCAGCACACTACTCAATACACCCCCTTCCACTCCATCCTTCCCCTATTCATCCCCAACTCTCTTCAATATATAATTTCCAACACTCATGGTCCTTGCTCGTGAATTCAAAAAGAACACTTATAATACAACATTTGAGTTTGTACCTCAGTGTGTGTCACGTTCAGTAGGTTGGGAGGGTGGTAGCTGGTGGTCAAGGCTTGAGACTCCAGTGTGCTTGAGTCCTGAAGCTGCTGTACAGTAGAGAAATGAGCCTGCTGGGTAAAGCCCTCAGCTATGGTGAAACCTGCAACAGAGCACACACACACACACACACACACACACACACACACACACACACACACACACACTAAAATCAGGGTACCTCAAAGCACTGGAGGGCCAGAGTTTCACTCCAACCCCAATCAAACTCACCTACCTGTAATTTTCTAGTATCTGTGATGACTTGATAAGCTTGTCCAGGTGTGTTTGATTAGTAGAAGTTAGTAAACAAAACAATAGTTTATGTTTACATGGTTATTTTGTTTTTTCAAAAACAGTTGGAAAGTGAGAAAACGGCCACAATCGAGCTACGAATGGCCATCTCTGAGGACAGAAACACTCCCTGCTACAGACCTGGCTTATCTCCGACAGACAGCACTGGCACACATGCGTCTGTGAGAGTGTGTTTACACTGAGAAGGGTGTGTGTTACCTTGTGTCATCGCTGGCTGTTCAAAGGTCTGCTGGGGCAGCGCCGGCGTCTCAAACTGGCTCATGTGTTCGGGGAGAGCGTGCTGCGCACTCACAAACGATTCTGTGGATCAATAAACGTTTTCATTGTTCATGTAATGCTGCTTTAGCTCAATCCCGTCTTCCCATCTAAATTAAGATGTACACTATGAACACAAACCAACATCCTCAATGTTTTTAAATCCAGTGTAAACTCATGTTACATTTTCAATTAATATTTACATTTCCATGTGAAACAAATAAATAAACCATCAGATAAATCAACATGCCTTACACTATCAAAAACACCCAAAACAACCGGGGCCAGAGAGCTTTCTGTGTGCGTGTTTCGTGTGTGTGTGTGTGGTAAGTGTTCACGTATACACAGTCTGAAGTAAACAAAAACAGTTGGCAGAAAATTGTGTGTGTCAATAATACAGTATATTGGACCCGTGCATTCGGTCTTAAAGGGACAGCAGTCTAATAAACCTGCTGCTGTCTGTCATTAATGTTAATCAAACAACAAAAGACAAATGAATCACAAACTGCTCTTGAGCACAGGGTAAGAGACGCCTCCTCCTGCTGGAACCTTTTAATGAGTGACTTTTACACACAATAATTTCCGTTTTATTTTTGTACCATCAAACAAACAGTCTAACATGGCCTCTCAGTGTCAGCGTCCCAGTTCAGCTTTGTTAATAACTAAAGTGCACATTTCAGTTGTTTTCTAAGAAATTTTTTTTTATGGTTGGCCTGCATCTGAAATCGCATACTCTCTTGAGAATATTGTAACTACTTCACAACTGCTAAAAACGTACATTCTATATAGCATGAATGTGTGCAGTATGAATGTAATCTGGATGTACTACATTCGCCATGTTGTCATTATCATGTGACCTGTCAGCGTCATTCACAAATCCCGGGGCCTGATGGGATAGTAAAGTGTCCATCGCATACACACTTCAGAATCTCACCGGGAGCAGTAGGTCATCTGGAGACTTTTGCCTACTCTTTTATGAGCACTGTGAATTCAGACATAATTCTAGTAGTGAAGTATGCGATTTCAGCGTCAGCCTTGGAGAAAAGAGCCGCTCACCTGACTCCTGCAGGGCATCTTCCCCCAGTGCCGTGGGCAGCGCCCCCTGCTGGCCGTCTGCCACCGCCTCCAGCATGCTCTGGGTCCCGGGGTCCACTGCAGGCGGCTGCATGTCCTCTGAGCTCTGCTGGAGCTGTTGAGCCAGCTCATACCTGAGAACAAACACACCTCTAACATGAGCCAGCTCATACCTGAGAACAACATTTTTTGAAAGCCATAAAAGTGCATCTATCCATGATAAAAGTGCATCTATCCATGATAAAAGTGCATCTATCCATGATAAAGTGCATCTATCCATGATAAAAGTGCATCTATCCATGATAAAGTGCGTCTATCCATCATAAAAGTGCATCTATCCATGATAAAAGTGCATCTATCCATGATAAAAGTGCATCTATCCATTATAAAAGTGCATCTATCCATGATAAAAGTGCATCTATCCATCATAAAAGTGCATCTATCCATCACAAAAGTGCATCTATCCATCATAAAAGTGCATATATCCATGATAAAAGTGCATCTATCCATCATAAAAGTGCATCTATCCATGATAAAAGTGCATCTATCCATCATAAAAGTGCATCTATCCACGATAAAAGTGCATCTGTCCATCATAAAAGTGCATCTATCCATGATAAAAGTGCATCTATCCATCATAAAAGTGCATCTATCCATGATAAAAGTGCATCTATCCATCATAAAAGTGCATCTATCCATGATAAAAGTGCATCTGTCCATCATAAAAGTGCATCTATCCATGATAAAAGTGCATCTGTCCATCATAAAAGTGCATCTGTCCATCATAAAAGTGCATCTATCCATGATAAAAGTGCATCTATCATCATAAAAGTGCATCTGTCCATCATAAAAGTGCACCTATCCATGATAAAAGTGCATCTGTCCATCATAAAAGTGCATCTATCCATGATAAAAGTGCATCTATCCATCATAAAAGTGCATCTATCCATGATAAAAGTGCATCTATCCATCATAAAAGTGCATCTATCCATCATAAAAGTGCATCAATCCATCATAAAAGTGCATCTGTCCATCATAAAAGTGCATCTATCCATCATAAAAGTGCATCTATCCATGATAAAAGTGCATCTATCCATCATAAAAGTGCATCTATCCATGATAAAAGTGCATCTATCCATCATAAAAGTGCATCAATCCATCATAAAAGTGCATCTGTCCATCATAAAAGTGCATCTATCCATCATAAAAGTGCATCAATCCATGATAAAAGTGCATCTATCCATGATAAAAGTGCATCTATCCATGATAAAAGTGCATCTATCCATCATAAAAGTGCATCTATCCATCATAAAAGTGCATCTGTCCATCATAAAAGTGCATCTTTCCATCATGAAAGTGCATCAATCCATGATAAAAGTGCATCTATCCATGATAAAAGTGCATCTATCCATGATAAAAGTGCATCTATCCATGATAAAAGTGCATCTATCCATGATAAAAGTGCATCTATCCATCATAAAAGTGCATCTATCCATCATAAAAGTGCATCTTTCCATCATGAAAGTGCATCAATCCATGATAAAAGTGCATCTATCCATGATAAAAGTGCATCTATCCATGATAAAAGTGCATCTATCCATGATAAAAGTGCATCTATCCATCATAAAAGTGCATCTATCCATCATAAAAGTGCATCTGTCCATCATAAAAGTGCATCTTTCCATCATGAAAGTGCATCAATCCATGATAAAAGTGCACCTGTCCATGATAAAAGTGCATCTGTCCATCATAAAAGTGCATCTATCCATCATAAAAGTGCATCTATCCATCATAAAAGTGCATCTGTCCATCATAAAAGTGCATCTGTCCATCATAAAAGTGCATCTGTCCATCATAAAAGTGCATCTATCCATCATAAAAGTGCATCAATCCATGATAAAAGTGCATCTGTCCATGATAAAAGTGCATCTATCCATCATAAAAGTGCATCTGTCCATCATAAAAGTGCATCTATCCATCATAAAAGTGCATCTGTCCATCATAAAAGTGCATCTATCCATCATAAAAGTGCATCTATCCATCATAAAAGTGCATCTATCCATCATAAAAGTGCATCAATCCATGATAAAAGTGCATCTGTCCATGATAAAAGTGCATCTATCCATCATAAAAGTGCATCTGTCCATCATAAAAGTGCATCTGTCCATCATAAAAGTGCATCTATCCATCATAAAAGTGCATCTGTCCATCATAAAAGTGCATCTATCCATCATAAAAGTGCATCAATCCATGATAAAAGTGCATCTGTCCATGATAAAAGTGCATCTATCCATCATAAAAGTGCATCTGTCCATCATAAAAGTGCATCTATCCATCATAAAAGTGCATCTGTCCATCATAAAAGTGCATCTATCCATCATAAAAGTGCATCTGTCCATCATAAAAGTGCATCTATCCATCATAAAAGTGCATCTATCCATCATAAAAGTGCATCTATCCATCATAAAAGTGCATCTGTCCATGATAAAAGTGCATCTATCCATCATAAAAGTGCATCTATCCATCATAAAAGTGCATCTATCCATCATAAAAGTGCATCTATCCATCATAAAAGTGCATCTGTCCATCATAAAAGTGCATCTGTCCATCATAAAAGTGCATCTGTCCATCATAAAAGTGCATCTATCCATCATAAAAGTGCATCTGTCCATCATAAAAGTGCATCTATCCATCATAAAAGTGCATCTATCCATCATAAAAGTGCTCCACACGGATCCGGGGGGTTAATTAAGGCCTTCTGAAGTGAATCGATGCGTTTGTGTAAGAAAAATATCCATATTTAAAACTTTATCAACTAAAATAACTAGCTTCCGGCAGACGGCCGTACGCATCGTTTTACGGTGAAAGAGTAACCCTTGACCAGATTGTATTCGTGTCGTGTTGTGTCGTGTCGTGTTGTGTTGACTTGAGGGCGAGGGGTAATTTTCGTTGTTGAGTGAAGTATCCCTGTAATAAACAGGAGCCGGCCGTGAGCGTCACCTGTGTGTCTTCATGTGCTTCCTGCAGTTGGGGGAGGATTTGAAGGTCTTCTGGCAGTAGGGACACATGTAGGGGCGTATGTCGCTGTGCGTGGTCATGTGGCGGCGCAGGCTCCCGCTGGTGGTGAAGGTGGTGTCGCACAGCAGGCACTTGAAGGCCTTGAGGCCCGAGTGTGTGCGGATGTGGGCCTTCAGCACGCCGGACGAGGCGAAGCCTTTACTGCACTGCAGGCACTTATACGGGCGCTCACCGGTGTGTGACCTGCAACACAACACACACACGCACATCAGCCATCAGAACACCAGCTCACACACTCAGTTTCATGTTTTTTTATTTTAAAGGTGAAGTATGTAGTTTCTGCGGCACTAGCGGCACCCAGCCGAGCTACAGGACTACAGCATACTTAGCAAACACCCCTTACTCTCCCAACCCAAACATCACAGACCCAGCTCTGACTCGGGTACAGTAGACCACATCCAATAAAAGCTCCAACTTATTAGGAATACTTCTAGCTGGGTTGCAATGTGTCTTGAGTAAGTAATTGAGTAGCAAACACTGTCTAGAGTGATCGTGAGCATCTTGCTTATAATAAACCCATCTAACGCGTCTGCACGGGCGCATTTATAGACGAGCCACAGCTGTAGTAGTGCGTAACATTTTAATCTTTCAAGGCCTAAATACAGAACATTTTGCCTTACGCTTCTGTTACTGAAGAAGCTTTTTCCACGTAGTGTGTCTAAACACCCTGTGGCTCCGCCCTGATGCAGTAGCCACGCCCCTAACCCTCAGCCTGATACAGTAGCCACGCCCCTAACCCTCAGCCTGATACAGTAGCCACGCCCCTAACCCTCATACAGTAGCCACGCCCCTAACCCTCAGCCTGATACAGTAGCCACGCCCCTAACCCTCAGCCTGATACAGTAGCCACGCCCCTAACCCTCAGCCTGATACAGTAGCCACGCCCCTAACACTCAGCCTGATAAAGTAGCCACGCCCCTAACCCTCAGCCTGATACAGTAGCCACGCCCCTAACCCTCAGCCTGATACAGTAGCCACGCCCCTAACCCTCAGCCTGATACAGTAGCCACGCCCCTAACCCTCATACAGTAGCCACACCCCTAACCCTCAGCCTGATACAGTAGCCACGCCCCTAACCCTCAGCCTGATACAGTAGCCACGCCCCTAACCCTCAGCCTGATACAGTAGCCACGCCCCTAACACTCAGCCTGATAAAGTAGCCACGCCCCTAACCCTCAGCCTGATACAGTAGCCACGCCCCTAACCCTCAGCCTGATACAGTAGCCACGCCCCTAACCCTCAGCCTGATACAATAGCCCCGCCCCTAACCCTCAGCCTGATACAGTAGCCACGCCCCTAACCCTCAGCCTGATACAGTAGCCACGCCCCTAACACTCAGCCTGATACAGTAGCCACGCCCCTAACCCTCAGCCTGATACAGTAGCCACACCCCTAACCCTCAGCCTGATACAGTAGCCACGCCCCTAACCCTCAGCCTGATACAGTAGCCACGCCCCTAACCCTCAGCCTGATACAATAGCCCCGCCCCTAACCCTCAGCCTGATACAGTAGCCATGTCCCTCAGCCTGATTCAGTAGCCAC